CTGCCGATTCTTTCTGCTTTCATAAACCATAAGTTCTGGATGGATGACTGCACACTACAGTGTAATTTATATACAGCAGTTTTTGTATGCAAATTACACGGGAATCAGCAAGTTGCTCATGGCTAGATGAGCAACTTCTCTAGTGTAGTGTAGTTGCACCCCACAGACAACCATTACAGAACCGTGCCACTCAGTGGCAGGGGAAGCAAGCAGCCTGTTCGCCTTTTGCAAACAGATGCTCCAACAAACAAGTACTCTAGAATGGATATGGACATACACCCACCTAGTCTGGTGCAACTGCTATCAGAGTTTTATCCCCCCCACCTTCCCAATTCATTTAGGGGTAATTTTACACTGGATTGGTGAAATTGCCACCAGTTAAAGGGGTTTACATTGCCTGTCTGCCTGATTTCCCCCACCAGTAGTCTAATGTTCTTTGCACCAATGTAAGTGTGTAGTCCATCCTCACACTTAGAAGCAATATACCGTACATTTCACTTGAACCCTTTCTCAAGCAACACGCCATGACTTATTGACTGAAGTCTCTCACAATAAATGCCATCGGTTACAGTGTGCTGATTTCCTTTCCCCACCCTCTATTTCTCTAGCTGCTAGCAAAACACACACACATACTAATGGTGTTTAGTCCATGAAAAATATATGTTTAACCTAGCAGGATCATGTTAAAGATTATCAGCTGAATGCTCCTTAGCCACATTCTAAGGTCATATTTTATTCTGCTATTTCCCCTACAGAAACAGGTGTGATGAAGCAGCATGGAGCTAAGGAGAGGAAAGACCTTCATTAAATCTAGTTTCCAGCTAACCCATGAGAAAACACCATTGGTACATGTGGTTGCTATGGACAAGGACAATCTGGGAAAAGATAAACAGCTCACAATTGAGGGAAGTCAAAGCGAAGCTGAAGTTCAACAGGCATGTTTAGTTGCACACAAAAATTACAGTATTTCCAATAGAACAACAAGGAATGGGGCTGGTGAAACCATCCTGTCTCCATCTGGGTCTTCCTACAAACTAGTAAGAAAGAGTAAAACTCATGACTGTGTGATAGGGGCAGACAAAACTGAACCATGGAGCCACAAGAGCAAAGCTTGTGAGGTGGGGTCTTCTGGAAGAAGCAAAGGGCGACTTGTCAACAGCATCAGCTTTTCTGGGGTGTGCAACACCCTGAATTCCAGTGAGAAGAAGGATTCAGTTGTCAGTCCCAGCCAGTCCACATGCAGCAGTCAGCAGATGATAGATTACAGAAACTTTGTGCCACAGATGCCTTTTGTACCAGCTGTAGCAAAAACTATTCCCAGGAAAAGGATTTCCCTCAAGAGATCTAAGAAAGGGCTCAGGGATATATTTCACATTAAAAAAAATAAACCAGAGGGCTTAACACTGTTAGTTGAAAAGGACAAGCGGCTGTCTTCTCCAGGGTGCAAAAGCGAGGTGTCAGGCAGGCTTGGAAAATATCTTTTCAGAACTGGAGAAACATTTGCAGCTGACTGCTTGGCCCAAGATTTCTCAGACAGTGAAATGCAGTCTGACTCCTCCTATGACTACTGCAATACACTGTGTGAAGATGTTGCTTCTCTGAAGAGTTTTGACTCTCTCACAGGATGTGGGGAAATCTTTGCAGATGAGAGTTCAGCTCATCTGGAGCTGGAAAACAGCAAAGAACTTCTACTGAGGAGAACCAAGCAAAAAGAGAGCCCTGTCTTAGGGTCTTTCCAGGGTGGGGTGGAACAGCTGGCATCTCCTGCTCAGAATGAGGCAGCTGACTTTGCAAAATTTTGGGACAACATCAACAAATCAGTGCGATTGCATCAAAGTGCATTATTTGATAAGAAGCTATTGGAGATACCCAGTCCTGACCTGGGAAAAGTTGCAAACACAGCTGCTGCTTCGGTGCCTGACCTGCAAGTGTCACCCGATAAAGACTGTGACCATTCCAAAGAAAGTTCCATAGACATGGGGACACCAAAAAGCGACCACCAGGAATCCACATCCACCAGTGATGAAGGGTACTACGATTCCTTCTCTCCCGGGCAAGACGATGAAACGAAGGAAGCTCAAACGCCTGGGATTCCAGGAAGATTTCCGAGAGACAGTTACAGTGGGGATGCTCTTTACGAACTATTTTATGACCCTAATGAAGCCAAAATAAATCCAATCCTAGATGATGAGCTCTGCCTGTCTGAAAGTGTTTCGGAACAGGCCATTGAAATCCCTCTATCAATTTACAGTTTTCATGTTGGAGCAGAGGAGAATATGGCTTCCCAGCCCGCGGTTGACATCATCAGCCAGGGCTTTCTTCACAGCACATGGAAAGGCAAAGAATGTTTGCTAAAGCTCTGTGATACTGAGCTTTCCCTGACCATGGGAATAATAAACTGGCTGCGAAAACATTCAGGGTTAGTTTCCCCCACAGACTCTGTGAGCAGTCCTAAATCAGAGGTGGAAGAAAACAGAGATCCGCTAGTCTCCTGCAGCTCTGATCCTTGCCAAAGTCTGAACACAGCAGCTGAGAAGGACAAACAAATCAAGGGAGAACCTAATCTTTCTAACCCAGAGTCTTCTTTGGGTTATAGCAAAGTTGCAGGCCAGCCACATTTAGTAAATGTTGATGAAAAAGACCAAACAGATGTTTCTGGGTCTCACACACCTCATGAGTATTCCCAGGAAAGGGAAAGCAATTGCCACAGAGACCTGGCTTTTGCCCCTGAGGGGGCAGAAGCCAACAGCATTTCAGGTAACATGCCAACACCAGAGGTCAATGGAGGCTATTTGCAGACATGTTCACCTGAAAGAGAGAAGATGCCAATTTCAGAAGACTGTGAAACACCAAAAGACAAAAATCTATCATCTGGAGATCTGAACAGGGAGACTATTTTCCAGAGCTCTCAGAACTCTTTCTTAAATGACAACCATGAAGTGGAATCATGTTATTCCTATAAGACAGCTGCAACCTCCCCAATGGATCCCCTAGAGACAGCAGATGAAAATAAAACAACGTACCATTCGTTGTCTATTTCCTGTGACAAACCAATGCAGCCTCTTACTTTGAAACATTTTCAGAGCTACGTTAGCCCCACACAGACAGAAAACAGCACTAACATTGTTCAGCTTTTGGAACGCTGTGTAACTCAAGTTGCATCCCTAAAAATCAGCTATGAAAACAAACACCGGGAAGACAAATGCATCGGGAGTGAAATGAACAATATCATTTGTAAAATGTCTCAATACAAAAACAAGTTATTGTTGCAAAATGAATGCAACTGCATCACCCAAAGCTCAGAATGCCCTGGCTTCCCTCATACAAACGAATGTAATTATGAAACAAGCTTCAAAGCCAGTGATTTGTATCACATGAAACAAAATGGGGAACTAATTTGCTCTGAAGATCAGAAAAACGGAACAAGTATCCTAGATCAGATGAGTCACATTACCAGGAATGAAATCAATTTTGAATATGCTCAGTTAAATAATCAATCCCTCTCTTATTTAAAAGACTTTAGCCTTGAACTGAGTCCAAGTGATTCTGCCACTATGACACCCCTGAGCAGGCCTACGTTTTTACCTCTTTCCAAGTCTGTTTGCTCAGACATGCCTAGTGAGTTTTCACAAGCCTCCCACAGAATGAAGAGTTCCCCAGACAAACCACTGCAACATAATGAATCTAAACAGGGCAGCCCCTGCTCGTGCAGTTATACAGAAGGCCACTACAAAGTACTGTCTCAAGTGGCCACTGTGCCTCATAACCCAGAGGTATCTACCACAGAGAGAGCAGTGACAGGGAGGAACCATAAATAACACATCTGCTTTAACAAGGTGAGTGCTTGCAAACAAGATTACTTGAAACAGAATGTGAAATAATGAATTGATAGACGTGCCTTTGAAAAAGAATATGGCCAACACGACCACATAAAACCGGTATATATATATTTTGGATTCAAAGTTTTACCAAGTTAATATCTCTTAATAACTGCTTGATAGCAAGCAATAAAAGGTGGCGGGGAGGGGGAAAGCAATCAGAGTTTCAATGATATAGACTTCCAAAGCCAAAGGTTTTTTTTTCTTTTCTTTTTGCTCTTGGTACATGTTAAGCTTGTCATGATCATGGTTTCATGCAAAAAGGCAAAGAGAAGAAAGGCCCAGTTCTTCAGTTCTGCCAGTTTTAACCAGGTGCAACGCTCTTAGAATCAATAAAGCTTAATTTTAGAGCATGTGATAGATTTGGCACAGGTGAGTCAGTAGAGTAATGCATGGCAGTGTTGACTATTTGCCCAGGTATAACTGCACACATTTATGTAGCAGGTTACCAGAAAATACAGACTATTCAAGAATTTTCTTTATTTCAGCTATAAAACCTGCCCTATCTGCTAAGCCACACAGTATAGAAGGGATTTATGCCTGATTTTCCATAACCCATGCCATTTAGTAAACTGCAATTATGACATAGGGACAGATTTTATGAGTGTTCCCTCTGTTCACTCCAGCAGTGATTATAGGGCTTTGCTCGCAGACTTCTGGTCAGAGCACTTTGTGGGGAAAGAATTAATACAGTCTGGAGGCCCTGGCCGGAAGTTGAAACCTAATTCACGAAACACAGAATTCCTAACAAGAGATTTTTCAGCTCTAAAGTTATTGGAAAATAATACGTGCTCAAACCACAATTAACCATGATATATAGAATAGTAGTGTCTAGGGGCCAACTGTGAATGGATGTGTTAGGCACTGTACAGTGATATGAGAGGTAGTCCCTGTTCTGAATGACTTGCCACCACCTGCTGCTTGGAGTTCCACCTTAATGGTGGGTTTCTGTACGTCTATCTCCCTACCTTCTGGACAATCAGAAAATGGGAAGAGGGAGGAATGATATTCTGGAAAGGAGTTGCCTTCTTCAGACCTGGGGGAGGGCAATGCCATGGAGGTGCATCACATGATTCTTAGGAGGACAACCTGATGCCTGCTAACCTTTCAGCCCTTTGAAAGGTGTGATGAGGCTTGTTGGAGCCCCACAATCTGTGCACATTACAGGAGATTGGCAATGGCTCTCTAGCACCCCTTCACAGGCTTGTGCCTATGGGTCTCCTATAAGCAGCCTTTAGAGATGCTGCAATACCTGAGGAAGAGCTGAAGAGTGGGCCAATCTGAGAATCTAAGGAGCAATTCAATACTGTAGGAGAAGGAACTGGTGAACAACTAACAGTTCCCTGTGGACTGCAGGAACCCCACGTCCAGTGGTTCACAGTAGTATGATCCCTTTGTTGTAAACCACAAATGGTTTGTCAAGCAGATATGACAAGGCAAGGAGAGGGCTTCATCATGTGTGAGCTCTTGGTGTGCTGAATCCTTATATCCGCTAGACGTTGATGAAAAACTATCTTTCTTCATCAATGACAAGCAACCCAGTGGTAGCCATCAGATTGCATTTTGGGGTATTTCTACACAGAAGAGAGCTGAAGACTTTTTTAAAATTAAAATGAAACACTCTCCAGCAGTAATATCATATGCTTTACTACTATCACCTCTAGTTAATAACTTAGAAATTACAATATCTATTAGCCGCCCATATTTTTGTGACATGCATCAGATCTTAATCCAGTAAATTATGGTCTTTTCCCCACTCCTACTTCATTTTATCTAGCTACAAAGGATGCAGTTTGGGAATTCTGGTAAGCAGTTTTAGTTCTGTAGTCTCATAATTCGCATCTAAACTATTGATTATGAAGCTAATATGGACTTTCTGTGGAAAGGGGTCCTCAATCAGTTTTATAATGCAACCACAACTATTGCATTATAATAATATAATGCAACCACAACTATGGCTATTACTCTCATATATTTAGGAAACAAATGCTGTATCTTTTGGTTCATTTCAGTAGGTGGCTTACTGCTTTTCCATATGTAATGACAGTTTACACTGGCCTCCTCTTCCAATATAGTTCTCATAATGTTATCTTGCACCTTACCATGAAAGAACAGATGTAGCTTCTGGAATACGTTGCCGCTAGCTTGGTTGTTCTTAGCAAAATTAAAAGTTCAGGCTGGGAATGAGGAAAGATTAGTGGTCATAGGTGTCATGGATGTAAATCACTAGTGAGGGCTACATCTTTACAGAAGGGAACCATACCTGTATTTATTTAGCATTTCAATTGTTATAGCTGAAATGTATGCATGGGGTGCTGCTAAGCAGAACCATAAACTCTCAGGCTAGAAATGTGTGAAAAGAAATTGCTCTTCTGAAGCAAGAGTTAACTTCTGCTAGAAACAGAGGGCAGAATAATGGCTGATGTTACTGTCAGAAGTAGTAACCTGCTATATCTTCACACCATGAGAGATATACTGCAAGTAGACATTACTGGACTCAGGGCATTTTCTACTGCATCATATCACATGGCAGCTGTTATATGCCACCACTTGTCAATGTAGATACCTGCAGCATCAGGAAATATGACATAGTTTATATGCCACAACCATGCTCCACAGAGAAGTTAGTTCTGGTGCTTTCTTAATGGGTTCTGATAGTTTGTGGTACAAGATTTGTCTGGCAAAGTAAAATGAATGCACATAGATGTTATTATTTTAGAGTGTACATAGAATTTGTGTACGTGTGAGGCAAATGCTGAAAAATCTTGTTTCATGGAATCCTGTTACAGACCTGCTTGTTGTTATTAAGTCCTTATTGACAATTAATTTATGAAATAATTAAACTGTATTTAGTACAGTAGCAAGGATTAGCTGAGGTGAAAACTATTAACTCTGAAATGTGATGGAGTTTTTCTGGCCAGCCTTGTTTTCTGAGCTCATATTAACAGACGGCTCACAGGTTAATTTGGCATTTTAAGTTTTTGGAAGGTGACTCCAGCTCTCTATACTGGAAGGGATAGAAAAACAGCAGAAAACAAATGTGTGAGCTATAGAGATGCAGAGAAGTGAAGCAATCAAATAATACTCCTGCTCTTGACTCGAGTGCTTAAACCTAGAGAGAGCTCAGACATGAGGAACGCCCTGGGGCTCATTATTTTAAAATGTCACAGTGGGAAAGGCACTGTGGTGACAGCTTTAGAGACTGAATTCCTATCTTAAACTAAAGAGCAAAAGCAGCACAAAGAAGCCTTCACCAGTGTTGCCCACTGGCCCACTCACAATCCTAGTCCTGAAGGAAGGGGATAAAATGTGAATTCAGCCTCTGGCCATTCCTCGAGGCTGGTGATGTTCCAATAGTGTTGATGGTCCTTCAAAATCAGCCCAAAGGAGTCTATGTCTACATGTCCCACTCCCCACAATGACAAAGGACACCTCCCTTTTCCTCAGTTGCGCTTCACACTTCCCCTTGGTTGTATGAGACCAAAGACATGGCTGCCCTCCTGGATCCAGAAGCACATCTCTATCCCACACCTGCCTGCCATGACACCTCTGCATCTTACCCTTGCATTCAGGCACAGCAGCCTAATGAGTCATGACTCTGGCATGGAGCATGATGACTAGGAAGTGAGATTGAGTTTTTTCTGGTTCCTTTCACTCCCCTTCAGTTTCATGGGAGATTTTGCAAATACTACAGATTTTAAGTTACAGGAATTCTAAGTGCAATAGCAAGGTACCTTAAGCAAGAAATAAAAAACCCCAAACTTTAAATCCTTATGTAGAGATATGTAGAGTACTTATTGGACTCCAACATTTCTTCAAATATAAGATGACCTCTTGATAATTAGATTTTATACAGGGAAAATTGATACATTTGTTATAATTGTCCGGGCATAGAACCTGATTATTGGAGGGTTATCTTAAATTCCTGCCCACCACTACTGCAGCAAGGAAAGCAGAAGCATGGAGGCAAGCAGCAGAGAAGAGTCAAGGGGCCTGATTCCCACCCCTTGTCCCCTGCTACCTGTCCCTGACAACAACTTTCTACCCCTGCCACCTAGTGCAGGCACCCCCTTGCACCTGCCCCCACCCACCACTTATCCCCCTGGGTAAGCCCCTCTGCAGCCCTAGGCATGGAGTGCACTGTGGTTCTAGCTCCCACCTGGGCAGGCAGCAGTGGTTGCAGTGCTGGCAGTTCCAGCCCCAGGACTGGGTTGGAACTGGACCCAGGGCTGGAGCAGTGCCACTGCTGCCAGGCCAGGTGGGGGCTGGAGCCACCATGTGCTCCGTGCCCCAGGACAGAGTGGGGCCAGAGGCAGAGCTGGAGCCACAACTGAGGGTAAGTGGCAGGGGTGGGGTGAGGTGGGGGCAGTGGCTGCAGCTCTGACCCTGAGCCCAAGTTAAGGCCAGAACTGCAGCTGCAGCAAGCTGCCCGTCCCTCCCTTTTGTATTCATATCCAAGACAAAGGGCCTTCCCCCCCATGTTGCATGGAGAGAAAAACCTCATCTTGGATTCAAGTAAATACAGTACTGGGGACACATCCCAAGGGAGTTTACCAGTACAAAATACTATGAACAAGGTTGACAAGACACCCCTCTCCCTTCCCTAGTATAAACACAGTGTACGGGTCCATGAATGGACAAGACCTTACATTAAAGTCTAAGCCTCACCAAATTTTAGTTCTGGTGACTATTGGAAGGGGCAAGTTGCAGACATTTGAGTTTTCTGCTGAGGATGCCTGACCATGGAGGCTGTCAAGCAGGAAAGCCTTTGCTTTGAGCAAGGAGAAGCTGCTGCGAGGGCATTCTCAATGCAAAAAAGAGGCTCAGGATCCCAGAACTTCATTGCACCACCCTGCTGGACACAGATTGAGAGAGGAACTCTCACCAGATAATGGGTCCAAGGCCATTTAAGGATTTATAGATCTTATATATTTTCAACT